TGCTTGAGTTTCATAGTACAAACTGATGGCCGGACATTCTCCCTTTGAATTTCCTGGTAGAGAGCAAAATTCATGATTTTATCAATTACGGTAAGCTGTCTAGATCCCGAAGCAGCCCCACACCATCACACTACCACCACCATGTTTGACTGTTTGTATGACGGTCTCTTTATGAAAGTTGTGTTAGTTTTTCCACCACATGAAGTGAGACTCAAACCTGCCAGAAAGTTGAGCTTTTATCTCGTCACTCCACAGAGTTTTTCCCAAAGTTTTGGGGCTCATGAAGACATTTTTTTTCTTAGCAAATATAAGACGATCCTTTGTGTTCTTTTTGATCAGTAGTGGTTTGCAAACTTTGCCCAGTCTTTTTATTATTGTTGAATCAGGAAAACTGACCTTAACTGAAGCAAGTGAGACCTGCAGGTCTCTAATGAAGGAGCTGGTGGGCATTTGTTCAGTGAGAGAGGTTTTCAGGAGTGTTGCTGAACCTATTAATTTCCATCTGCTACACAGTTGTGTGTTTTTATGCAGTTGCAGCATTTCATATGTTGCCTTTGTAATATTTTGAATTAAAAATGTAGAAATTACTATATTGTTTTTCCTTTACATTTCACACAGACATGATTTTACAAGGTCTGTAGAATTTGTAGAGTTTGGACAGTAAACGCAATGCACTACATAGTCAAAGGAGCTTGCAAAGAAAAGCGTCTGGACTTCTTTAAGTTACTTGAACTTTAAGTTACTTTCAAGTAACTTAAAGAAGTCCAGACGCTTTTCTTTGCAAGCTCCTTTGACTACAATGACCTGGATGACTGAGAACCTTCACAGACATAATGCACTACATAGTTAAAACTGTAAAGACTGATTTAAACACAGCCTGGAGAAGGCTGGTCTTACCTATGAGAAAGCAGTTCTCGAGGAGTGACTTACTTTGGTGTACAGTGTTATGTAATCCATAACATTATGGGTTTCTGGATCAAAAGTTACTCCTAAAAGCAAGAAGGAACTGTAGAAAAGGAGATAAATGGAATGAATTGGAAGCCAGGAGAAATGCAAGAAAGCATTGGACCTTAGGGTGAACTTGGAGGAGCTATGCCCCTGTTATTGTCTGCAGAGGATTACCGTCTGATTACTTTCCAATTTGAACAGAAAAGGTTTTACAGTACAGAAAAGATAGAAGCTGAACCAATTTACAGCAGATTCCTTAATGCCAAGCAGAGAATTCAGCCACACAAAGGCTGCCCTAAGATATGGAAGGATTAAAACAGCAGTTTCACCTACATTCACTTACCTTTTAACATTGGATACCATAATCAGGGGAAACCTCAGTTCTGGGTATTGTTAAAAAACAGATAGAAAAGTTTAAGAAATCCCTTACGTGTCAAAACAGCAAGTTCACCTCACCTGCTGCCCCTGGAGGAAAACTTTAAAACTTTAAAACTTTGCAGACAGTGACATCTGAGATGTTCCAAGTTCACCCTGACAAACACCCCTTAGAGGGAACAAAAACAACACTTTGGGAATACGTGCATCATTACTCTCCAGTCGCCAGGGACAAAGAAGGGTCAGGGTGAAAGAAAGTAGCCCACCAGCAGCGATCAGTGATTTAGGCCAGGCATCTGAGCACAACTGGTTTTGGTGAAGTATTATTTTCAACACCAGAAATATGCCTAAATTATAAACCTGTAATGTAAAATGCAACCTTAGGAAATGAGCACAACACTGTGGGAACATGTGCATCATTAGTCTCCAGTCAAAAGGGACAAAGTAGGGTCAGAGTGGCAGAATCTAGCCTACCGGGAGTGATTACTGAATAGGTTTTTGAACAAACTGGTTTTCATGGAGGATTATCTTCAACACCAGATATAAGACTAAAAAAAAATATATCCGCAATATGTAAAACACAACCCTAGAAAAGCAACACTTTCAGATATAATATCAGAGGAAGAAAGTCGCTTTGAAGCCTTGAATTAGGCTTTCAAAGCATCACAGAAGTTAAAGATGGAAGAGTGAGATCCAGCGCGATGCGCTTAGATTGGAGAGCGCTTTAAAAATAACTGATTGATGGTTGGACGTCCGTTTCCTTCTGCGCTGTGGAACTTTGACCAGATGTTAGGACTGCATCACACTTGGATGGAATTTTCCCTTCGATCTAAAATTTTTATTACATATTAAAGTTTAAAGTACTGAAATGTAGAGGTGACATACAGATATCTTAGTCTTATTAAAGTCTGAGCTACAGCTTTAACAAGACTCAACTCAGAAACAGTAGTAGATGTGAAGCCTGTCTGCCTGTTTCAGGTTGTGCTGTGCAGGCTGTCATTTGCTGTGTTGGGTTTCAGTCCCCTGCAGCCCCGAAATTTCAGTAAAACAATAGTAATACTACTGCTACTCAGTATTGATAGTATATATTGGTTTCTGCTTGTTTTCTTTACACAGTACAGTTCTTTACACAACCTCTTAGTTCTAAGACCAAAAGGTGGAGAGCACTAGGTATTTAAACCCTAGTGGAGGTTGTCCATTAGGTGGTCGTTAACCTTGTATTAATCATGTATTAATCTGTTGATCAAGCGCATCATTACATGAGCCAAGGGGTGAGAAGGTGTGGAAAAAAAGGTGTTGGTCATTACCAGCACTTTGACACCTATTATGTATGTTATCTGTTGAAGTCACCTGTGGGTGGGGGCTGAGGTGCCTGGGTAGGGACCTCAAGACTGTTGCTAGCTGGTGTTAGTGATGGTCGTTCACAGAATAGATGGCCTCTTTTACTCCTCTTTCAAAAGCATCTGTCTTCTCTGTCCAAGATGTGAGCATTGGCATCCTTGAAAGAGTGACCTTTATCCTTTTGGTGCAGATGTGTCCTGTCGAGGAGGCTCTTCCAAATTGTGCCATGCGTTTCTGAAATGGCTGTTTGGTTTCGCCTTGGGATGAACCAGTTTTTGTCTAAGGAGCATGGCACGGTATTTGATTTGAGCCACTTCCACACACCCTAGAGCTCAATATCATCTTTGCTAGTCTTGTAATGTTGTAATGTTGCCTGCAACAAATTCAACAAAGGTCCCAAATAGATACCGTTGCTTTAGTTACATGGTACCAGCAGCATTTAATGCATCCCTGCAAAGTTGTGGAGCTTTTGCATATTTACTAACTGAAGGAAAACACCCTGTTATCCAGGTCAGTGCTAAATTTGATTATGATTAATTGTTTTAGAATTATAGGTTTTTGCACAGAGAAGGGAAAAGCTTCTTAACTCTTAAATACAATACTGTGTTTATTTCATTATTTATTTATTCAATGAAGTAAAGTAGTTTTTTCTAATTCACGACATGGCCACCGAAGGGCGATACCGATGGCTGCAACAAGCCTTCTGTTTCAATGAGATAACGGATCTTCTATAAACATTTTCCAGATGAGTGTTTAGGTTTAGTTACTACTTTCAGGTAGTACTGAATAAAACACTGAGTCCATTCTGTCACTTTTTTCACTTTACCAACTAATATTTTGCCCGTTATTGCACACCTAATCTCTTCACGTGGCCCACCCAACAGCAGGACTCTATAGAATTCATCCAGCCTTCATTTCTTCTTTCTATCTGCATCTGCGCTTTTTCTTTGTGACATTCAATCATGTCTCCTGAGGGGAAAAAAGAGGCCTATCCCGGGGTGCTCCGTGCTATTCTCGGGGTCTCTGTGGTACACTCTGTCTTAGAGACGTGTTTCTTTTTTACTATTCCCTCTTAGAAAGAAAGTTTTTCGTGTTGTTTGTTTTGCCTCGACTTATTTTTGGAGTCCTATCAGTTTAGGCTGAGCACCAATAAATAGATAATGGTGCTCCAGTGGGCTTAAGTGGTAGTTCTTACTGAGGGCAGAGCTGCACGGGTTTTCTTTAATATAACATTGTACAGAAATGTATTTTAATATGTGAGCTGCTTCATCTACGCACAGCCTTTTGACCTTTGCAGCTCTGCCTCAAGAAATGTTTACCTGAAACTCAAGGCTGCACACTCAACTCCACAAGGCCTGCTGTATTTGCAGTAGCAGTAATACGTTGGAAAGCAGATTTTTTTTTCTCCTCCCGAAATCCATAACAGCCATAAAACATCAGATTTTGCAGGATGCTGAGTGGGAAGCCAGCCATTGAAGTACGAAGCTGAAGTAGCTTCCCTAACAATTGCACCTCTCCCAGTCCTCTGATGATACCTTTTCATACTCTGATGAAAGTGCTAGGCTGTAATATATTGCAATGGGGCGCTTCATCATTGTTACTCTCCCAGATCCACATTAGCGCTCTAATCCGGAACATAAAAAAATACAAAACAAAGGTCTGCCACTGATTATAGGGCTGTAACCACACAGAATGAAACCGTCTCTCAGGTATTGTGTGCCCTTAGATAGTTGTGAGTCTATTTTTAACTTCTATTTCTCCTGGAAAAAAGAAAGATGGTTATAAGAAGAGGTATCATATTCTGTGTATAAAGCTGTCTATACCATTGAAATCCAACATGAATCAGGCTGCATTGGCTGGATCCCTGAGGCCAGCTCTGAGGAGCCGGTGATAAGATTGACTTAAAAAAAATAAATAAATAAAAAATAAAATAAAGCCCTTCTCTGACCCTCCATCAGGAAGAGGAGCCTTCTTTCCCTCTAGCGCTGCTTTGAGGATTCCACAGAAATTAATTTGTGCCAGTATCCATTAACAATTACTGTGCTCACACAGTCGGGGAGCTTTCACCTGGCCGCAAAGTTCAAGGACAATGTTGCTGTTTAGTGAACATAAATGTTGTTGATTGCAATATAGCCCACCATTAGAGGATCCGAGCACTAATTATGATAAATATGCATCCGTGATTTCTGTTGATTAAAATGCCTCCAGCATCAGTGAACGGGTTAATGTGCTGTGGTTTGACGCAGGAATGGTTAATAGGAGGACAGGCAGCAGGTGGGGAGTCATGCAGACTGATGAGGAGCAGCAGCAGCAGCAGAAGCAGAGGAGCCGCTGTGTGCTGACAGTTGGGGCTGAGCCGGGGAGAAACGAGCAGCGACGGGCGCTCCTAGTTCGTCCCTGCAGCGGGCACCACCGTGGTCATCTCAGGATACGCACGGCTGTTTTCCTGTTTTTCCTTTTTTGAAGAACCCCCCGAGCTTTTCAGGCATGCTTTCTCCTTCTGTCTTCGTGGGTAAGCGGGACGCGGGTGAATAACACTTCCCTTCAGCGGCTGGATAAATGACTTGAGAAACTCTCGTCGAAGTGAGCGGACAGAGAAAGCGGTTGTACGGGAGATGAATGTTACCGGGAAACAGCAACCTGAGCTGATCGAGCGACCCGCCAGCCTCCCGGTTCCAACTTCGGCAAGTAAACCCTTTCAGTCGTTCCCTGTGAATGACTGAAATCTAACAGCAGTTTGCAGTTTCCGTGTTAGGGCACTCCGAAAGAGCACTCGGGCAGTTCGTCCGCTCCAAGCTTCCTTTAAAATTACACTATTTATGCTTCTTTGCTTTTAACTGCTTGACGCTGCACAGGCTCGCGTTCAGGTGTCAATCGTTTCCAAAGCACCATGAATAGCTGTACAGTTCAACATACATATAGAAAACTATCGCTCTCTTACTTAAAAACCCCCCAAAAACGTTCAACTTTTCTAGATGGCGTTTTGCTGGTCATATAACGATAAATGATCTATTAGGCATGAGCTGCTAATATCCAAGTGCTACAGGTTTAAGGACAATATCTATGGAAACATGGCTATTTTATGTATTATTTATTGTTGCATTAGCCGAATCCAGCAAAAGACTATACTAATGTCTTATTGCTGTTTATTACATTATTTGAACAGTGTAATTGAACAAACGAGCGCGTAATCATTACGTTGGTTAATTCCTAAATTAAGTCTGGTACGTAGTTTCTTCTCTATGATGAAACGGCGCGTTTGGTTAAATGCTTATCCCGTATGGTTTGATAGGTTGTAGCATTTCTGTTGCAGGTGCACTAAGCAGCTTAGCTCTTATAGCTTGGTATTATTTTTCACATTTAATTTAACTCTTTACAGTAACAATAATAAAAAAAACAAACCAGTGTTTACGATTTGAGATGACACCAAAATAAGTTTAAATAAGTGACTGCTAATTGTTTCCGTTATAGCGCTCTCGAACCCCAGTTGTAATATAGCTATTAATATTATTATTGTTATTATTATTATTATTATTATTATTATTATTATTATTATCACCATCTTTTGTCGTGAGTTCACCGAGCTTCCTTCAGGGCTTCATAGCAGGATATCATATTTAGGCTACTTTAGCAAGAAAACAGATGACCTGACCTTTTACCAGACTTTCATATTCTGTGAGTCAGCTCTGTACAGAAAAGTCCATCATAGGCTGCAGGACATGTTACTTAACCAAGCACTGTCTTCAGAAATAGGGTTAAAATTATATATCACCACTTGCATGCACAGTTGATTTTTCATATGTGTCAGTAAACATGTTTCCATGGATACCTTGCTGTAAAGTTTTAAGGTTCATTTAAAAGGACAGCTTCTGGCACATCTTTACCTACATTTGTCCTTTTGTCGCCTTCGCTGGGCGTCCAGCACCTTTAATTCAATTGAAGCCACTGCCTTGCTTTCACAAAGCCATTAAATACTGGATATCTGAGCCTCTGGGGACGCACAAGTCTTGAGCTTAACTCTATTTAGAGTGTGTTCAGTTTCCACACATTTCCACTCTCCATTTACCACTGAGTAATGGCTAAGATTATACATTAAGCACAAGTAAACAGTTGCAAATTGCAAGAGAATCTCCCATTCCACAACGCATGTTTATGACAGTGTAGTGTAAAGTTTCAGGCTGGTAAGCATGGACTTAATTGTGCCTGGAATTAACAAAATGCAGTTTGGCATGTCCTTCAGCAGTTTCAAATATCAGGGTAATTTGGCTTGAATTAATGGCAAAATGTGTTAATTATAGATGCTTTATTATATGCAGTTAGGCTGCTTGGAAGATTCCAGAGACGGATTCGAGTTTGCATCCAAAGTGCTTTATCATATTTCCTGTTTTTACTCCCCCCCTCCCCAATTTATGTCATATATATTTGGATTATGTTGTTTTAAGGGTTTTTTACTCCATCTTCAGTCAAAGGGAATGTTGAACATGAAACAGCAATCATAACATTTGGGTTTTTCAAACATGGAGATGCCCTGAATCTATCTGGGTGATTGGCAATCACTGATAAATTAGATGAAAGTGCTGGGAAGGCACACCTCTCCTATTTTTTCCCTTTGTTATTCCCATAGCACGCTGGGTGCATATCAACAAATATTTGATGCCCCCTAATGATGAAGCATCTGAGACGTGATTACTGTGAAGACTTGCGTAAACCAGGGTGTAGCAAAAGTAAGGAATAATTCAGGTTTGTATTGGATCGTCTGAAGGTGTTTGAAGAGTCAGTCGATACAGTAAACTGAGTCCTCCTGTCCAAATACAAGCAGCTCTCTGCCTACAGTGTGTGTGTGTGCATTAGTTTTGCCATGTTTGAATTGTATGTCACGGTATATTAGTGCTGTGATTGGCAGGCGGGGTGTTTTCCTGCCTCTGCCTGCTGGGAGAGACTCCATCCCCGACTTAGTTCAAGCAGTATGTTTGTGTGGTGAAGACTTGAAAAATGTAACTCTTCATACATAATTCTCTGCCTTTGCCTGGATTCTGGACTGTGTTTCAGCAGCTTATTGATGAACCCATCACTAAGATGTGCCAAAATTCATAATTACTGGATAGTTTTTGCGCCGTTTTGACTTCATAACAAATGAACTGTGGTCAGAAAGCTTAGCGAAAATCTAGAAAAGTTCAAACCATACCTGATTTAATTTTA